TTCCAATACTCTTTCCTCAACCCTATGCCACACATCAGTCTAATCGAGTGCTGAGTGTCCTCTGGTTTTGACGGTTGTGACAACAAATACCTACACATCTCACCGATGTATAGAGCAATCTATTTGGCAATTTTACATCAAATACCAATTTTAGATAGTTTTTACATTCGAGGCAAATTTTTTACTTATATAAATAGATTTAATTATTTCATATTACTTACAGTGCACTCATATTTAATGCAATTGTGCCAGAATTGTGAGGCCGAGAATTTGTTAGCGATTGTGATTGTATTACCACTTATTAAGCAAAAGCCTGCACCTAAACAGCCACCAAATGCGTGGTATAGGGGTTGGGATACATAGATATTGTCATTCTTCTTGATTCCACAGATTGTGGCAAATGCGATGAGACCACCAATAAAGCGGCCATTAGTTTGAATGGTAGCCTTAATTTTGCCGCCAGTTGTGCCCGAAGTGTATACATATAGAAGTGTGTCCTTAAAGTTTTGATTGTCTAATACATTGACACTATCTTTGGGCAAAGTTTGCAAATGTTGAGCAAATGATTGTGGAGTATGTTTTGGTTGACTTATATCACTATAATTATGACTATCATCAGACCAGACAAAGTATAACATCGAAGGACTTATTGATATCAACTTATCGTAAATGTCTTCAAAAGCTAAAATAAATGTTAAAATATTTATACAATATATTACCGGTAGTTATATATTTTTATAATTTGTATTTTAATATTAATTGTATAATTGAAATAAAATAATTAGTTAAACTTTAAATTGATTATTAATACAAATAACTTTACTATCAAATTAATACATAACAAGCGATTGTATTAAAGAATTTTTAGATTGATAAGTTGATTATTAAAATAATACTGTTTTAATATTTAAACTTATATTTATATTTAAAGCAAAATAAGCAAGTACAGTAATACCTGAAAAGAATTCCGAGTCATAGATAATTGCTTTGCATTGAAATGCTTCAAAACAATTGATTAGTGAATCCATTCTGTTATTAACGTTAATAAAAGCGGTGATAATCCCTGCTTTAGCCAAACCCAACCAAATGCCTATAAATTCTGGCTTATTATCCATCATAAGAGCCACTTCGTCGCCACTTTTCAAACCCATTGATAGGAAATAATTAGCGATTTTGTTGGAGAATTGATCGAGTCGTGTAAACGTCCAGTTTTGCTCATTAAACTTAATGGCAATTTTGTGGCCATTTTTTCTGACAGTTTGCCGAAACAAACTGATCACCGATTCGTTACTTAATTCACATCTCTTTAATCGCAGGTAGACTTCGCTGAATATGAGAGTCGCTCTGAATTGAAAACATTGTTACCATATAATGTAACATATCGTAACAGTAATCATTACCTTATATCTCTTATGAGAGCTTCAAATAGTTGTACAATCATATTTTCAAATTTATTGAAATACAAATAATTTATATTATCAAAACAATATGTCAAATAAAAACTTCATTAAACTGTTTAACTGAGTTGTGGCTATTGTGAGCAAACATTGTCATAAATATATTTTACTACATTTTACTTTATATTTTTAAAAGGAAGTGTTATTAAATAGTGAACACAATTAAGAGTCAATTCAATGACAATTATTGAGAATTTATTTTATTATTAGTTTATTTAAAATTCAATTTCGCAATGAGTAACAGGTTTTTGTTATTCAATGGAAAATAACAAATAAATGAATTTTAAGTTTTCAATAAAACATTATTTTAAGAATTTATAATTTGACGCAAATTTACTTTATTAGTTTTATTCTGATGTTTATCAGGATATTTTGTTTTGAATACTGTTTTGTGAATTTTCCCCTTAAATAGTTTATAAACTGGTCATATTTATTAAACGTATTGCAAAACATGATGTTATCTTCATTTAAATATTTACATTACGTTAGAGAATAAAGTACAGTATGTTACATTTATGTCATTTATTATTATATCAATTTATTTGTACAATATAAAAGTTGGAAACTGTATTTATATCAAATAAATCATATAATTGTGTTTGCGCATTTTCGAAAATTTATTTTATATCTTTTATTCGTGATTTTTAAATCAATATAACGTTATCACAATTGTCAAATGTTTGAAATATTTCAACTTAAAACTTAATTTCTCCCGATTGTATGGATTCGTAAGTTTCATTTGTCATGAGTTTATAATTATCAAGGTTTTTATCAAATATATAAATCAAGTCATCACTTGATTGAGGAGTATATCCAATGTTTTGTAGTTTATATTTGATTAGTTTGAAAGATCCGGTCACCTCTATATCTGAGGTCAGTTTTATGAACAAAGGTATGGCATATGAGGGCAAACGGTTGGTAAGTTGTTGAGCTAATTGTTGTAAATCTATATCATCTGAATTGGCATTAATAACAGCCATTCCTGCTTTGCCTTCGCAC